CCCCACTCACCTCTGCTCCTGGGCTGCACCATGCCCTGGTGCAGGCAGCTGGTGTCGGCTGCTCTTGGGGCCGCTGCAGCTGGGGCGGGGTGAGTGCTCCTCCCCACACCTCCCGGGACTCCGCCTGTCCTCATTCATCCCAGCCCAGGCCGGAGCAGCCCCGGGAGCGGCCGACACCAGCTGCCTGCTCCGTGGCATGGCACAGCCCAGGAGCTGGGGTGAGCCCAGGCACAGGGGGATAGGCGGAGCACAGTTCATCGCAGCGGCTGCAGGCAGCTGGCACCAGCCGCTCCCGGGGCCGCTGCAGCTGGGGTTGGGGTGAGTGGGGCCACAGCCCTCTCTCCTCCCCCCCCCAGACTTACCTGCTTGGGCAGGGGGGCATCTATGCTGATCGCATAAGAGTGAATTTACCTTGCATATAACGAACGGTGGGTCTAAATATGCTCATCGTGTAACAGTGAATTCGCACATAAAGAACCTGCATAAAATCAAGGGAAACCTGTACTGCATTTTCCTAACACTGTTAACTTGAAAGACAGCAGACTATTAGTGCAAAAAAGAGGGATTGGTGAGAACAGACTAACTATGTCTTTAAACAGATACTCAACAATAACGAATATAAATAATGTTTGAATACACAATTCTCTTGCTTTTAAGTTGATCAGTTATTTTTACAAGTATTTTGAGTTCAAAACAACTGTGAAAAGAAAAACTGACCATTGATTTCTTGTAGAAATTTAAAAATCATAAATCTCAAATGTTTTTCTTTGTTGTTGAATGTCATTTGGTTTTAGCAAATAACTCAATTTTAAGCTGATTTGTGTCCAATTTTTCCCTTACATAAACTTGTATAATTTGGTAGTGCATTTTGAATTGATCATTTTCTCATCTTTTCCTCTGGTCCAACCCTGCTAATAAATAAATTATGTCACATTGGTTGCAGTGGGAGAAGAAAAAACGGAAACCATAGCCCACTAGTCAAATCTTATACAGAAGACTAAGAGAAATGGAAAATGTTGTCTACATCAGGTTGACAACTTCACTATCCAAGGGCAAAGCAAATGGTGAAGGATTGCAGAGCAGCACAGGGATTGCTGAAACCCTCAGCTATTTATATTTAAAACTGCAACATTCGCTGCATTTTAAGACACTGATTTTTTTTGCAAAAGTATCATATTTTGGATGGTGCATGGGCACTAATGAAATCCTTCCAACATTAACTGTTTTAACAAATGTTGCACTTGAAAGTTTCCCTTTTATTCATATTTTAGTTTCACCAGGTGCTTAGAGTTACCATGTGGAGTTCAAACCTGTGATGTACTCAGGGAGATCCTATGGGACCCAAACTGGTGCCCTCTTTCACAGGTTGCCTGGGAGGAGAAAAGATACACAAGATGCAAGAGACTTTCTATTGAGAAAATTCAGGAGCATTTCAAATGCCACATAGACTCATAGAATAGTCAGCATGTGAGGTTAGAAGCTCCAGATTTAGGGGTTTCTGATTTTGTTTTATTTAGGAGAGCGAACAAGGAGTAGGAGAGTGGGGGCCAGAACACAGAAGATGAAAAGGTGTTTCTGGATGGCAGCTTAAGTGACTGTTTCCATTAATTTATAATGACATTTAAGACTAATAGAATGAAAATTCATGCTATGAAGACATAAGCCACATGATGAGATGTGAAAATGACCAGCCTTGGAAAGGAAGTCATCTGGTAAAATGTTTCAAGATATGTCTGTCCACACTGCCTTTGCCCATGCTATGGGGTGCCGCCATGACAGCCCAAACCATCTGTTCTTGCTCCATGCACACAACATATCAGACAACTACTCTTTGCTTGTCTTTGGCACACGCCCACGGCAACTCTAATAGCAACTACATTACATGTTTTTCCGACAACTGGTGAGCAGAGAGTGGGAGCAAGGAGGAAGGGGGTGTTATCCTGGGGTACTCTTTACCACAGTTGGAGGCAATATTCATCAGTATATGTATAAATGATATTCACTAATTTATTTGCTGTTTATGACCTCAGAGCCATAATTCTAACAAAGGGTAACCTGCAACTAAAAACACCTCAATCAATACCAACAATCATTTTTTAAAAAGCAGGTGAAAGGCTGAAGAGCCAGTGGAAGACAATGGACTTGAAATGCACTTGAAACAAGGCTTGAACTCCTATATGACTAGACTGCCAGACACTACATGTGCTGGTGTTAAATGATGTACACAGTCCCTGCAGAAGAGGGAATCAATCATCCATGCCATCTTTATGCCGTCAGCCAGCCACACAAACAGTACTGTGTTTGCCAGAAAGACAGCTGCTCACCTTTCTCAGAACTGATGGACAATGCTGAACAGGCACTGCTATGGAAGTGCAAGGAGGGAAGGTAGCAAGGGGCTTCTAACTGGTGAATAAAATGTAATTTCCACTGTTAATTATTAGCAGCTAAGGACAGCTAGAAGCCAAAAAAGTATCTCCCTCATTCCCTGCTACATACAAAGCACTAAATCACTGTGAAATCAGCTGAAAGGCTTCCTTTGCATCATGAGATATAAAGCACAAGGGAAGAGGAGGGGGAAGAAATGTGATGTGGCAAGGAGAGGAAACTGTCATTGGTTTGCACCTCCACCAACAGCCTCTTTGCGAGGTTTTGTCAAAGAAAAAGCAAGGAGCATAGTGTGAAGAGTTGCTTATGAAGAGCAGACTTGTATTTGAAGAAGGTAATATCAATTCCATAGCAAGAAATAAAGGTGCAGAGAGACTGTTCAACAGCTTAGAAGATGTCACAAACAACTGCTCCAAAACCATCTCCTGTAAGAAAGCAATTTGGTGAGCCATAACATAGAAAAGCACCAGTCTCTACAGTATAACTATCCAGTTTTTAGTTTTTTGTTTTTTAAATAAGGATGATAATTGGGACTCCAAGACTTCACAAGGATGAGCACTGCAATACTGAAGGCTAAAGAATGCAAATTTTACAAATGCCTTGAATAAGTATTTATAGGACAGACCAATTCTGTTTGTAAAAATCAAAAGCACAATTTATTATCCCATCACTTGAACAGCATTTCAAGGAAGTGAGCTCAAAAGCCAATTGGCTCTAACAGATTCCTCATGGAGCTGTATTTCCCAATGCTAATTCTAGCATTTCTATTATTAAATTTGTAAAGTTATGCTTAAGAGAACATTAGGAGTATTTTTAAGGCCCCCTGGCTTGGCTGCCTCCCAACTGACCATGTAATGAATAAGAAAGTAGATACGTTCTAATCTTCCCCACTGATCATACAATACAAAACTCAAGTCATTTCTCTTGAGAGATTGCAACAGTTAAGAGTGAATGTCTTGTGGGAATTAAGGTATCAAGGCCTTTACTCCTTGGTTTACATACTGCTGTAAATGAATCAGGAATGTTCTGAGCCACAATGGGGAAGATATTGATGAAGAAGCTCTGAAGCATATCTCAGTAATAAGAGGAACCAGACCAAGCTTTTCATAAACTGCCTGATGCCCCCCGCTAGTGTATACACATGTGCTGCAATAGCAGTCATTTTAGATGCACCTTTTTCAAGATTTGTTATTGGTATAAAACTGCAGCTTCACTAGTGCTGTGATGCAAGTGTTAGCAAAGACAGGCATTTTCAGTAGAGTGCTGTTTAATACTATCTACAAAAGTGCTCATATTGTGGCAACTGGGATCTATACAAATCCTAGACTGACACTGAAAAAGCAAACAAAACCAAAGCTGCCCAGACCTTTGCAGGAATTATGGTATTAAAACAGAGTAAGAGTTGCACAGAACCTTCCCTTGAATCACTTAACATCTTTAAACAACAGTCTTGGAGGTCCATGTCAAGCCCATGCTTTTCTGAAACATGACCAACATAGAGCATTCTCTTTGGCTAGGGACAGAACTTGCACATAAACCAGTTTAAATGATCAGAAACTGTTTTAAACCTGGAACAGAACATAAGTTTGATACACATATACCAGTTTCAAAATGGCTGAATCTAGTTTAAGATAAACCTGGTTGAATGCAGTATCATTCAGACTTAACTGATTTAAGTCAAACTGCGATATAGAACTTCTGTCCCACACCCCTTCCTGGTTCAAGTTAAATCACAGTCCTCCAGCATCCCAGCATGCTTTGCAGGCCTGGGCTGGGCTGTGCTGTGCTGTCTGCTGGAACAGAGCAGGGTTGGCCCTGCCCCTCTGTTCTCTAGCTGGAGCAGTGATGGCTGGCTGAAACGGGGATGGGTGTGCTGGGGATGCAGCCCAGTCTGCCTCGCACGGGCAGAACAGCCTCTGCCAGACTTTTCCCCACCGAAATGGAGAGGGTGGGGGTGTGGGATAGCAGGTTCAGGCAGAGAGGGATTAAACCCCCCTGCCTCCCCTCTCCCACCAACAGGGACCCCAGCTGGGGTCAGCCCAGCTTTTCCCCCCCTGCTTGTGGCTCAGTTCAGCCTGGGACCCCCTGAAACAGCCCCCTCCCTCCCCACCCCAGCCAGGGGTGATCCCACTGTACCTTCCTAGCCACTGGGGCTGGGGTTTTGCTTGTGGCAGCCCAGGAGCAAACGCCAGATCGGGGTGAAGGAGGGGAGTGAAATTGCCCCAAGCCCAGGTGGCGACCTGCACAGAGATTGCGACAGCGGTGGCTCCATCCTAGACATGAGCCCTGCTGAGCAGAGGGACCCAGATGGTGGTGGGTGGGAAAGTGTGTCTGTGCTAGTCTGGAACAGAGCCAAGCCAAGCTGAGCATGCAGCTGGGGGATCAGCTCCTGCCTGGTGGCCCTTTCTATCCACTGGAGACTGGCATGCATGGCGCGGGCTAGCCTCCTCAGCCCTGAGTGCTATTACCTGAGTTCCCCTGGCCACCGGGTGCGCCTTGCTTACTCTTCCCCTACCTGGTAGCAGCAGTGCAGCACAGTGTGGTGTACCAGGTGTCAGGCGTTGGGCACTACTCCTACGGCTTTCCCATCACTGGCTGTCATCAGAGGGACCTACCTTGGTCGTACCGGTAGGTGCTGCCCATGTGAAACTCCAGTTGGCTGCCAGGTGGACTGACAGTGGCAGCGGCAGTGGCAGCGGCAGCAGGAAAACTGTTGGGGTACTGCCCCGCACCTGGGACATGGGGCTATGCTGTGCTTCCACTGTCGAGTGAGCAAGGTGCACCCAGCTCAGTGCCTGGCAGCCCAGGGGGACACAGGTAATAGTGATCAGGGCGGAGGGGGCGAGCCCGTGCTGTGCACAGTACTGTGGGGCCTGTGGCTGGTCTGGGTGCAGCTCTCCAGCAGGCAGAATGGGCCGCTGGGTAGGATCCTCTCCCCCAGCTGTATGGTTGGCAATACCCCAGGCTAGTGCGGACACACTCTTGCCCCTTCCCTGCCCCCATAGGTGGGATCCCTCTGCTCAGTGGGGCTTATGTCCAGGATGGAGCCGCTGCGATCTCTCTATGCATGTCCCCACCTCGTCCTGGGGCCATTTTGCTCCCCTCCTTCCCTCCCGATCTGGCCTTTGCTCCTGAGCTGCTCCAAGCAAAATCCCACTCCTGGCAGCTGAGGAGGCACAGCAGGATTACCTCCTGGCTGGGAGCGGGGCTTTAGGGTGTCCCAGGCTATGCTGAACCACGAGCAGGGGCAAAAAGCTGGGCAGATCCCGGCTGGGGTCCCTGCAGGCCAGGGTGGGCTAGGGTAGGGTTTTAAATCCCTCCCCAGTCATACTCAGTGTGCCAGGGCCCAGCTAAGCCCACCCCTCAGCTCAGCTTCCCTCCAGCCTGAAGGGAAGGGATGCCTGGTCTAGCTCCCCCCCAGTTTCTAGCCTGAGGCACTACAGGCATGTGCCTGCATTTCCGGAATCAAAAGTGAATGTCTATTCACTTGCTTGTTGGTTCAATCTATGCAGGGTAGACTAACCTGCAAAGCTTGAATCAGTTTGGGCTCGCGCTTTTTGAATGCCTGTACTGGAGCTTTGAGCTACACTGAAAACCACATATACCGTTTCTCATTGCTGGAGAGAAGGTTTATATTTAGTCTTGATTATTGCAGGTTCCCTCATAAAAAACATTACCAGACACAGCACAATTCATTCAGTATATCTTGTAACCTCTTTGGGAATTTAAGGGGAACCTTACATACAGTTTACACAAAAACTATCTAATGCTTTCAGTTTCTTGTTGTCAGGAAAAGTGCAATTCAGCAACTTCACCAAGAACACTGTTTCAAAACAAAACAAAACAAAAGCAAAACCCCAAACAAACCTAAAAGCTTTTTATATCTTCTCATAGATTCAGGTAACTGCAAAACATTAGGTACCTCAGATGGCAGAGCAGGGTATGGAGTTACACTGACTGGTAAATTGTATGCTGGTTTATTTTGATCACGCTACTGCCTGCTTGCTGTTCAAAGCCAACAGCATAAAACTTGCCTCATCTGCTAGTTTATACAGTGCAGATTTGAAGTCAGGAATCAGACCACTTCCTGTTGCAAATGAATTTTCATCCTAGTCTAGGATTTTTCTGTCTGTTGTTACAGGCACCTCTTTTTTTTCTTTAAAGTGTTGCACAACAATTATTTTTGTGAGCTACAAGCAAAAGGATTTAACAGAAAAAATAACTGGCATTTACTGTAAGCTGAAATATGATGTATATCCCAATATAAACTTGCATTTTACAATGCATTTCCCTGCATGGACATGCTAACCATCAATTCTGTACGCTTTCAGTGAGATGAAAATAAAATTAATTAGAAATCTCAAGAAAGCTGTGCTTTTATGTTGACCCAAAATTAGAGTAGCATAATAGTCAGAGAGACCAGCTACTTTGGAGCCTCAAACACACAGAAGAAGGTCAGCAGGAATCCTCAGAATTCAATTAAATGACAGACGGGAACATCTGTTGTATATCTGGTCTATATTTTGCCACACACCAAGTAAGTTTAATACTCAGCACCAATTCCATTTTAAAAACAAAACACAACATTCTCAGTTAGAAATTAAGCTATGTGCATATAGTGGAGTATTCTTTCTTCAGCAGTTGCCTTTCCTCTTCCACAATGTATGCAATGAAGGTAGTTATTCTGGAAACCGGTATACAATAAAGACACCAGTAAAACGTAACGCATGCTGCATTTAGCTCAACTTTTAAATCTGAAGACTGCCTAGTTTCAGAAGGAACTTTAGTAATCAAAACCAAAAAAGTAAACCCAAACTTCTGCAATCTTCAGCCCCCTTTTACTACAAGGTCAGAGGAAAGCCAAGATTAAGAGTAAAGATGGGGAGTTTGAATTCCAAAGTCTAGCAAATTTCAATTTGTAGCCATGCTGGTCTAAGGCAGAGGTGGGCAATATGCGGCCTGCAGGCTGGATGAGGCCTGCCAAGGCCATTTATCTGGCCTGCAGTGCCCCCCCAAAATTTAGAAAATTAATATTCATCTGCCCCTGGTTGCCTGTCATGAGGCCCTCAATGGCTTGCCAAAACTCAGTAAGTGGCCCTCTGCCCAAAATAATTGCCTGCCCCTGGTCTAAGGGCATAGGCAGCCAAAGTTCTTTGGGTAAATCTGATATCTTTTGTTAGACCAACTCAAAAACAGTAAAAGATTTGTTATCCAGCATCCCCTGGGAATGGGGGATGCTGGATAACAAAATATGCCACTTAATTGAGAGGCCCGAAGAGGCATCCTTGCTTTTTTGGGCTGCCGATTCTCCTGCTGCATCCAGGGCATTGCCAACCCTTCCACAGGTCCTGTGGGACAAGGAGGCGGGACTCGCGCAGTCTGCTATGCCCCAGGCCATGGGGACTCTGCAGCGCAAGCTGCTTTGCCCCAAGCTGTGGGGGCTCAGAGAAACCCGAAGTGCCATGGTGGGCACTTCCGGTTTCACTGTACCTTATAAGCCGGCATGCCGGTTAATAGAGCATGCCGACTTGTAAGGTGCTGGTTAATGGAGCTTTTACTATAGTAGGAAAAATCCTTCTTTGCAATCTTTCGGGTACAAACACCCTGCGTACAAATACCTTAAGGAAGCATCTGCAGTTGGTCTGTAGAGTACAGACCAACTGCAGATGCTTCCTTAGCCTGATGAAGGGTATTTGTACCCGAAAGCTTGCAAAGAAGAATTTATCCAACTATTTGAGTTGGTCTAATAAAAGATATCAGATTTACCCAAAGAACCTTGTCTGCCAAAAGTCTAGCAACACACTCAGAGAGAATGTGTTGCTGACAGCTGTTTCTTGTAGCTAAGGGACTCCAGTCTGTATACCTCTTATGATCAAAACTGTGGCAGCATAGTGGAATAAACCTATTTAATAAGTAGTTCCAAAAGTGTCCAAGTCTTTACAGGTCACCCCTAATGCTTTGAATTCTAGCTGGAAAGCCCCCTCAGCAAGCAGGCCCCAGATTACTAATGAAACATTTCTAGTGTGAAATTGCTTAATAAGAGCATTCTGTACTAGCTTCAGTAGCCAGGTGGTTTCAAGGAAGGCTCTGGAATGTACTTTGTTACCAAAATCTTGGTAACTTTCCATGAAACTATGGAACTTACACTAGACAAACGTACATTGATATGTTGTAAATCTCAAAATAGAGATTCTTTCAATTACTGAACTTAAGAAATGTGATGTTTTAGCACAAAAAAATCATTGTGGAACCACTAAAATTTCCAACATTAAATGGTTACAAATTCTATGACAGAATGCATAACAAAACTCAAGTCTGAAAGCTGCTTTTACAATAGCAAGTAATAAAGTAATGTCCTGTAACTTCAGCTAACAACCCATCTAGGGTTTATCCCTTCATGACATTTACTGGTGAGGATCAGGTCTTGCATTAACCAATTAACTAAATGCAGCTAATAGTGTGCTTCAGCTACTTAAGCTCATCAGTTAATTAAAAGTCTGAAGCAGGAATTTTACCTGATAAACCTGCTAGGCATTACCTTTAATGATTTAGTTAGAGTGTCATATAAAGATCCATTAATACCTTATGAAAAACTGATGACAATTGTTCAGCATAAATGTCTGTTTATATCTTACACATCCTCATCTCTTATTCTCTAGGAGGAAGAAATCCAACTTGTATTCTGTGTTTCTAGGAGTTTAAGCAAAGCATTTAAATCATTCTCCCCTTATTTTTCAAGCCAGTATTTCATGATATAATTACTGTTTTATGGTCATTTAAATCAGTAATAGAAATGATTTCTACATGCTTCCAGCTTGTTTTGTATCCTTTTTTTATACGAGTATCTCAGGAAAACCTGCTGCTCCCATTTTTTTTAGAACTATGCCCCTGTAATTTCTGAAAAACATTTCTGTCGCTGTGAGCTGAACACGGCAGCTCTGTGTGCATGCAATTGTGTAGACCACCTGCGGCTGCACAAAGACTGCACATTGAATGTATAATGATGGGATAATGTATTCCCTACACTCCTCAAATGTCAAGCTTCTTTCTGTGAAATAATCTCTCAGCCATCTCCCAAGAGTGGATGCTAGTCTTCTCCAATGATACCTATTGACTAAGGCATTCTAGTACAGAGCCTTGACACAACAATGATTTAGGGACAGAAAGCCAACTGGATCACCTATTTCATATTCTTTCAGTTTAAAATGAAAAATGTTAACAGATTATGGCATGGCAGTATCAATCAAAGGCTCTTCTCTCAGTCAGAAACCAAGACTCTGCAGAGCTTATTCTGTATGAATGTTTTCCTCCGAGTACCTGTACAAGTGATGTGCTTCCTGAGGTCTGGTGGAATGTAAAGGCAACAGTCTCTAAGAAAGAGGCTACCTTTCAGTTTTGTGTGTGTACAGTGCATGGGGTTTTTGGTCCACAACTAGGTGGTACAGTAATGCAAACAGTGGAAATCCCCTTATTAGAATAATTTCAAAGGAAAGTTATCCTCAACATTAGTAAATCAGTATAACTTTCTATTGAATCTTCAGGTTATTCAAACATCCAGACACCACAAGGAACATGAAGCTACAAGTATTTCAATGTTTATTAACTGGACTGTGCACACAGAACTTCAAAATGGCAGATTTTCA